GGCTTGTTGCCTGAAATTAGTTTGTTTTAATATTAAATAAAAAGTACTCCACCACCACCACCCTCTTTAATGTTCCATTCAGAAGTTGTTTATTAAAATAGTTTTTTGTAGAAGTATAATATTAAACTAAATATAGTGGTTTAATTAATTACTTATATTTATTTGACCTTGATGCAAAATATTTCTAAGTGTGTTTGTCTTCTATCTAGCCTGTAGCTCAGACAGAAGAACATGGACAAGTTAATGTGATGAAAATTCAACCTCCTGTTTCTCAGGAGTGAGGTTAGAATGGTTACAAAAGTTGATTTAGTTGAACTGGTACTGCTTTATAGGGAATACACTGTTTTGTACAGACTTTGAAATTGTAAACTAATACTTTCTGAATTACTTGCATTCTTCTCCAGTGTTCTTTCCCCCCTTTATATGTAGTTCAGATGTAAGAATAAGTTACTAGCCAGCTGTAGAGCTTGGCATTCAGTTTGAAGCAAGTCTGCATGTCCATAAATGGTATATTGTTTATTGTAATCATTGTAGTTTCATATCTAAAAAGCTGTTGAAATATTTAAAGTGGATAAGATGTTTGGGAGTTTTCAGTGTCTCCGTGCAAATTTAAATCCTAGTATTTTTATCTATTCTATGACTATTGCGTGAAGAGTAGAAAAAATTACCATTACAAAATTCCAGTGGGTATAAAGATAAGGCGTGTAAAATTACTTTTTTAGTGGAAATATTTTTAACCATTTAATATGTCAGTATTGTACTGATATCTTTGATTAATTTCATGTAGTGATTTAGATAAAAACCATCATCATACAAAGCAAGTCTTGGACTTCTCAGAGTTTGCCAAAGTTTTTCAAAGTGAAGAAATGAGGCTCAAATTCTTGTGTTTGATCTTCCATGGCAACTGTATTTCTTGCTGTTTTCTTAATAGCAAGAGTTATTTTTTAGAGTTTTCTTATTTCACTTTACTAATTCTTATAAAATTATACATTAAATAAAAAAAATATGTTGTGTGTTTGTATGACTTTTGTGAAAAATGTCATGTAATTGTGCTTTATTTGAACCAATATGGATTATATGTGACAAAAGTAGTTTAAAATTTAATCTTTCTATTTTATTGACCTAAAAAACATACATTAACAGCTTCTTACTAACATTTTTTACCAAATTACATTGTTTTTGTAATTCAACCCAAAAAAGATAGTGAAATTTTTTTTGTTTGGTTTACATTCATCAATTTTTGATAACATACTTGAAGATCAAATTACAGTGATCTCTAATGCAGAAGTTATATTAATTTTTTCTAAAACAATTTTCAACTTTTTATTGACATTCTAACATTTTAGTTGTTGAACTTTGAGATTTGCTGTGTTGATGTTTTTTAGTTCTTTTAGAAACATTTTAATGAAATTACTAGTTTTTTAGAATTGTAAATAATTTCAAAGTAACAGTTTTGAAATAAAGTAAGAAATATTCAATGTTTTTCACAAGTGAGCTATACCTCAAAGTATTTCATATTATTTTCAAAGAAAACTAAAAATTAGAAGAAACTATAGTTGTGTTGCTGACTTGTGTTACTTGCCATTATTATTTTCTTGATAATTCTGTTTAAAAATAATAACCAGTGAAGGAAACAAATTAACTTGTTTCAATATTAAAAGAAAATTTAATTCAAGTTTGCAATTTGAATGAATTTTGTTGGTGTTACCAGGTTCCTGAATTGATTAATATTTAAAACACACATCTACATTATATATTACTAGCTTGTGAAAAACTTTATTAGTTTCATAGCAGGTGTTGACCAAAAAATGTTACTTAATTTTAGTTGAGTCACATTTTCAAATATTAAAAACTGCCAAAACTTCTCAGTTAAATTTTTTTAGGAGATATATGATCATTGCTCAGTAATTTTCCATACAAATGTCATGCATTTAAAATTATCGAGGTCCAGGAAAAATGTTTTACTTCCTGTTAGCTTGTTATTCATTCTCTTATTTTCAATAAGGTTCATCTCCCTCTTTCAGAGAAATCTTAAATTCATGACCATGTTTATAAGTTCAACAGACAATTTATCTTGTGTTCATTTAAAAAAAAAATCATCACACTGTGTAGCAATAAATAGACCTTGGGACCATCTTATATTTAACCCATTCCATCTAATTAACAGATATTAGCATGTGCTGAGCTTGCTAGGCAAGTGATTTAATACTAAGTAAAACAAAAAATTGGTGAGTTTTTGTCTTTTGTGTATGTGTGTCTAGTAAAGATCTTTGGTTTAAGTAAGGTGGCATTGTTTTATAAATTTTATTTTACTACTTTTTTGTGTTTTTTTTATACTTAATAATTTCTGGCAAGTTATATTCTGGCTACTTTTTAAAAACAAAACTAAATATAGTCAAACATTTGTGTGTCAAAGTGCCAGGGACTTAGGAAATTTATACAAGATAAACTCTATCAACTTGACCTTAGTTTTGATTCACAAAATATGTTGAGTATTTGATATAGTAAATATTAAAGGAAACAAATGCAGCTGAATTCCAATATTTGAATGTATTTTGAAGTAAGCTGTGTCTGTTGAGTTTGTAATGATCTACGTTATAAGTTGCTTGTTAAAAAAGCAAATTATAATGTAAGTTCTGTAAATCAAAAAAAGATCAAAATTTAATCATTTGCATTTGATGTGAAGTCACTGGAGTTAATTTTCTGTTATACAGCAAAACAAATATTTTGTATGTTTTTCTGAAGTGATATGTTGTCAGTAATCTGATCTTGCTAAAACTACATGTAACTCTGTCCTCATTTGTTAAATATTTCTCATTTACCATATTGCATTGATTTAGAATACATTTACTAATGATAGTTTTATACAAGTTACTTGAATATACATGACATTTTTTAAGTTTGTACTGAACATAAACAGGAATTGATACATGTGTAAGAACTTGATGAAACCCCTTTGTTGCCAAGTAGAAAAGGGAATCGGAGAAAGCGTCCCTACTATATATGTGGGACTGCAGAATTTTTAATACCCTTGTACACTTATAAACAATAAAAACTTGTAGTAACTGTCTTTCTACAAAGTGTACTTTCTTGTGGAAATATGCACATGCATTTACCAGATTTTCCAAATTAAAAATAAAGGTTAATAGAGTTTTAAAATGGAACTGCTTATGTTTGTAGGTTAGTTTTAACGTAATTAATATCCCTAAAGGTCTTAACATATCTAGCGGTTAGTTATACTTTCTTACTGTGTCTTAGAAAAATACAACATACATGATGTGAAGCATTGATGTTAATTAAGGTTGTATATAAATATACATATTCAAGTGCAGTGGGAACATATTAATAAACACCCAAAGAAACTTAAGCATTTATGTACATGTTTCTAGAGTTCACAAAACAACCACTAAGTAACCAATGTATATATACTTATGCATTCTGTGAAAAATGCCATTAAAACAAATAGAATAATTCTTATTAGTTATTCACATTTAAAATATTTTACTTATAAAACTAAATATTTACTAAAATATTTACTTATAAAACTAAATATGAAGGGGATGTGAACTTGATTAATGTGATATTGTCATACGCTTTGTAACAATTTACCTGAAGTTCAAGAATAGTAATTGCATATAATTACTACAAGAACGAAATAAATAAAAAGTTATGACAAAGGTTTTATGTGACAGATTTGAAGATCAACTAATATTAAAACTACGGAAAAAAATTTATATATTTTGGATTATAAGAACTTGTAAAAACAGAGAAGAATGTAATATGTCAAGTGAGCCAAGAAAATAAAAAAAGCTGACATTACCAGGTGGAAACTCGTATTGGTAGTATAAGAAATTATTTCCAGTAAAACAGCTAAGCAAATTTGCTAAATATGTATTTTTTGTAATCATGACATGATTTTATAAGTGAAACAAGCTTCTAGAAGATTAAGTAATATAAATTGCATACAAAATCTTATTAAATTTCTTAAAACCTTTAATATAAATTATTTGCTTATTCTACAAATTGTAAAATAAGCTATCTACATCTGTATTGTCAAAAAAAGTAATGGATTCATTTATTATTATAAAGTTAAGTTTGAATACCATAATCAACTTTTAAGTTACTTCCCCTGTACTTTAAACATAACTTGTGTGTTGAGAATGATGAAATTTGTACTTGAATGAAGCATTGCTTTAATGGGCTTTCCATTAAATATAACTATCATGAGAATCAGAGAACAAGCCTTTTCAGATGTTAATTATTTCAAACAAAGGACAAAATGATTGTCAACTGCCATGCATAGATATCAAAACTTTAGGTAGTTTGTTATTATTGAAAGTTAAGTGCCATCTGCCATACACAGATAGCAGAAGTTTAGATAGTTTCTTATTATTGAAAGTTAGGTGCCATCTGCCATACACAGATAGCAGAAGTTTAGATAGTTTCTTATTATTGAAAGTTAGGTGCCATCTGCCCTGCACAGATAGCAGAACTTTAGATAGTTTCTTATTATTGAAAATTCTTTTCAGTAAAGCTATACTGTGTAAGGATGTTGATGCCCATTTTCACGTTGATTGCATCATGAATACACAATCTAAATCATCATATAAAAACGTGTATTTACTGTAATTTATTTAAGTGTGCATGCTATAATTATTATCTTATGAGTATCATAATTATATTATAGAAATCATTTAATTATTTTTTTGTTTTATTTTGCATGTTTTTGTATATGAACAAGCTTTATTGCTTTATAAGTAACTGATTAAAGGAATATATTTCTAGGGAAAGTTATATTTATTGTTTGGACTCAACACTTTTGTTAATTGTTTCCTCACTAGGATTGCTGTTGCTAAAGAAACTGTTAATGGCGTATCTCTCAGATTTCTGAAAATGGGTGATTTTAGTTATTTGTTTGAAATGAAAGTTGTCCTGTAAAAATAACTGCTTTTTGATATACTGAAAACAGAGGATTGATGAATTTTTATTTTATTATAGCCAAACATTTTCTCAGTTAAAACCAATTTTGTAAGCACCTCCAATATCCTTTTAGTCGTGGGGGGTTTGAAAATGTAACAGTCAATCCCATTGATCGATGGTAAAGAGTTGGTAGTGGGTACTGCTGACCACTTGCCTTTCTTGTTGTTGGCTCTTCAAGATTAAGGATGGTAGCAGATAGCCTTAGTAGCTTTGTCATTTAAATAAACCACTGATCACGTCTTAGGATGTATGCTTTGTAATGTGGGTAAGTTGTTTTTTATCCAGCTACCTGTTGTTTTGGGTCATTCCTCTTTGATTTTCGGATGCACTTTCTTGTGGGAAAAGATAATGTGGGTTTGTAGGGTGGAATACACCATGTAGAAGGGGAACAGTATCTTTTTCACTGATGAGTCAGGTGATATCTTGAGGATACATTCATCCATTTAACACTACATATGTTGGGAAAATGGTTCACTGGTATAAAGATTTGTAAAATTAAATCTGGAAAACACTTTTTCAGAGCAATACAAGTGATATAATGTCAAGTTGATATTATTAAGAAAATAAAAGATACTGAAAACATTAGATGCCTAAAACAGAAACTGAAAACTCGGTGCTGGAAATGATCGTGGTATTTGCAGATAAAACTAGAACCAACAGATAAGCACCAAGAGTTGCAATAATGAGAGAAGCTAACATAGAGAGCAAAGTCAGAACTCAAACACTTCTGTAAAACAAGAAGTGAAATCTTAATATACCAATAAAATGTGCTGGGGCTTTAACCTAATACTGTTCATCTTCTGCACTTTATAGTAATTTCTCTGATTGCAAGAGCTAGGAGCAGGGAAGAGGCTTCTACATTATATAAATACAGGAAAAACCTTGTATATGTTACATTGTAAGTCAGACAATGTCCTGGGTTGCTTACAATCAGTGATCATCCCATTTTTACATGTTCAAGGGGAGATAATCTTCCAGATTATACTAATGTAATATTCTCAGGTACACTAATTTTCTGTCAGGTAGGAACCACAAATAACAGAAGGAATGGACAGCATATATATATATATATTAAAAGAGTTAAATCTGAAAATTTGACTTGACTGAAATGAAGAAAAGACTGAATACAATGTGAAAGTAAAATCACTCTTTATTCAATTCAATTTAGTCAAAATAATATTGAGTGCACTAAGTGCTTCTAGATCACAGAGACCTTGGACTTCTCTATCTGTTCTAAACAGATAAAAGAGAATAACATTGTATACCCAAAAACAATAATGTCATCCATTTTTAGAGTTCAGATGCTATCTGTGTTGGTTGTGCCAATTGAAAATTGGAAAGGCATAACTTAACATGGCAATTTTACTAGAGAAGGCATTTATAAGATCCAAAAACAAGTTTCTGTCAACATTTTGAGAAACATAATTACATGTCTTGGCAATGGGTACTAGCAAAGGAAGTAAGGTCAGTACTGCACATGGAAGATTTTTCTTAAGTTGTAAAAGTCTTTAAAAGCATGTACATCCAAAATATTTTGAACAATTTACAGTTTACCTATCTGTGATGATAGGTAAGTACCATACTTAAACACCTCTTTATCACCCCTCCACTTTGGTATTACACCCCTGTGGAATTGCAACAGTGGCATGCAACCTTTATCTGAGTTTATGTCTATTAATATCCTATATAGCAGGTTATTAAATAACTGCAAAATACTTGAAAGAAAAATTTTTAAATCTTTACCCGAACGTACCTGAATAGTGACATATTCCTCTCTAGTTATAACTGATAAGGTATTTCAGTTTTTAACTGCTACATCTGCATATGATAAAGGTACCTCTTATTTGGCAAATTAATAACTAAAGTGACTATTATACTTTGATCAATGTGCTTCTCCTTTTCAGAGGTCTCGTATAATCTAAAAATGTCAAGTCTTTAGATCACATCTGGTTTGCCAAAAACCACATATCGCTAAGAAAATGTCATCTACAGAATTAATCTATCCTTGATTACATAATAAAACGTTTGAAACAGAACTTTTATATACCAACTTTGCATCACCTAATACATCAGAAAGTCATTATGACTTAAGTTGAAGTGGGAGACATAAATTTTGATACCAAGCATAGAAGTCCAATATTTTTACTTAAGATACAAAGATTATTGTAAAGATTCACGACTTTGGAAAATACTTTGTAGTAAGAATAAAATACAATATCTACTCGGAACTTAATCAATAATGCATTAAATGATATTGATGCTATGTCCAGGCCTTCAGTTACCGTATTAATGGTGATTTTCATTCATGTTATATCACACTGTTGATAAGTAAAAGAAAGCACTTCTGTAATATTTTAGTTAGTCTGCAACACTTTAACATCATTGTCATGCTCCAGAATGACCTGGATTTTTATATTAAATGAAACTTACAGCAACCTAAACTTTAGTGTTGAAAAGCAATTTGTAACAATTCCTGATCACATTTCTTACTCTTGCCAAAATAGTAACCTAACTCTATTTGTGTATTACCTTTCAATTTTTCACACTATTTTTTCATGACTTTTTGATTATCCAATGAATCACAGTCACTTACATACTCCAACAATTTCTAATATGCTGTATTATTTTGTAAGATTTATTCTACATTAAGAGCTAACTTGCTTTCACATGTAATATTCAGGTTCACAGATATTCAAGGATGAGTATTAAGATCTATAGTAAACAAAAAATTGTTTTGCCAGGAATGAATCAAGCAGGCACTAAAGGAAAAACTTGATCATATGTGTAAAACAAATGTTGTGAATCTTTATATATGTTACTCAAATGTGATGTTTAAGTGCTATGATCTTATTCCACTGTACTGGACAGCTTCCAAGTTCTGAATTAATATACTGGCTGTGGAGTATAGAGGAATCAGTACCCAGTGAAAACAAGATGGATTATGTCTTAATTGACAAAAGACAGAAAATATTGTGTCCATATCAAACTGTTATGCTAGAACAAAGTTCTTGTGTAATATTCTTCAATTCTAGCTTAAGTATGTCAGTAATCATTGCTATTTTACATATTCAGGGGGAGATTAACTCTCAA